CTGTGTATTAAGGGAATAATCCATCAAGAAGATATAACAAATGTAAATATATATACATCTTCAGTGTCATAAACACAATGGGACGTAAAGGTACAGCTAGGTGCAGATACAATAATAATGGTTGAGTTCAATACCCTACTCAAATCAATAGTTCATCCAGACCCTCCTCACCCTCCAAAAAAATCAAACTTCATAGCTAAGCTGCATCATGGAGTAAACTGATAACAGGCATCTACAGAATATTCTATCTAGCAATTTCAAAATACACATTGTTTTTAGAAGCCCATGGAACTTAATCCAAAATAGAACACATTTTGGGCCATAAAACAAGTCAACACATTTTTTTTGAGTCCAGTCGTGGGGCCTGAACTCTGAGCCTGGGTGCTGTCCCTCAGCTCTTCAGCTCAAGGCTAGCGCTCTACCACTTGTGCCACAGCCCACTTCTGGCTTTTTTCTTTTTGCTTATGTGGTGCTGAGGAATCAAACCTAGGGCCTCAGGCATACAAGGCAAGCACTCTACCACTGAGCCACCTTCCCAGCCCGTCAACACATTTTTTAATGAAATAATTTCTTGTATCTTATCAGATCCTAATGGAACAAAGTTGGGAATATAGTACAGCTCACAAACAGAATCAAAGAGAAAAACAAAATATTTTCAAAAGATTTAGAAAATAAACTGGTAAATTCAATATTTAATCATTCCTCTCATAATTAACATTTTATTTTCTCTTTTTTGTCTTTTTGTTTTAGTTGCATGTATAGGTTAGATCATGCAGTACTTTGCTTTCTATGCCTAGCTTATTTCACTGGGCATAATGTCTTTCAGATCTGCCTATATTGTGGCAAATGGCAGCATGTCTGTTTTCAAATTGGAACAATGTTCCATTTTGTTTGTGTGTCATGTGTGAGCACACACATATGTACATGTGTATCTCTTGGTCAGTTTGATTGTTGATCAACATTCAAATTGTTTTACCTGTTGTGAGCTGTGCTATGGCGCACGTGGAAACATATATCTTTGTTAAGTGATTTCACCTTAGACTATGTACTGAAAAGAATTACTGGTAAGTAATTCTAAGTAAGTAGTAATTCTAAGTAAGTAGTTCTATTTTTAATTTCTTTAAGAACCCCTCATATAGTTTATGATTATGTCTCTATGACTATACATTCCCACCATATGAAAGGAAGTTTATGCTATGTCCAGCAAGGATTTTCCCTAGGAGGGTAAGAGAGGCTCAATGTTTGATTTGAATATGAAATTTGAAATCTATGTTTTTAGTTTTCTTAACATGCCATCAAAGGGAAAACAATCTCATGTATGCTAATCAGTACAGAAAATGAACTTGACTTACTTTAACAGCTGTTCACAACAAAAGAGCCTCAGAAAGGAAAGAATAGAGAACTCCCTTGAATTTGATCAAGACTTCGTGTATGGTACTCTTAGCCATGAGAGACTTTCCTAAATCCTGACCACATAGCATATAAAACTACCCACTTACCATTTCACTGAGATATTTAATAGATACCTAAAAATTAATATGTTCATAGTCAAATCCATTTTTTACCCATTCCCAAACCTACTCCTGACTGTCTTTGGGTCATTAAATGTCATAAGAAATTGCCTACTTTGTGCAAAATCTTGTAGTTATACATAATCTCACTCATTTTTTTCATAGCAAGCATCTAGTTCTTTCAGATGGGTTATGAAAATGTAATTATGACTCATTTCTGACCTGGGTTATTGCCTTTGCCTTGAATCTGCTAGTGCATTTTACGTGCAAAGTCAAACCAAGGCTTTTCTCTAATTAAAGCCTTTCAATAGGTTCCCTTGATGCTAATAAATAGAATTTTACATTTTCCAGAATATGGAAATGTTTTTATAATGATTCCCAAGTAATATTAGCTCATCCTTTATTACCCAATAAATATTTATTGAAGAACTAGGAACTAGGAACCTTGTGAAATATTAGTATTATTATTATGGGGGAAAAAAGCCTGGCCATTAGGCTTATCGACTTAAAATCCAAGAGAGAATACAGCTAGTCAGTTACTATTTAATATGCTTATAGCTATTTGAAAAGAACATGACAAAGAGAGATCTACAAAGGGTCTTTTCCCAGAGATGAAAAAAAGAGACTAATAATACAAATATAAACAAAGCGAATGGGGAGTTGGTTAAGAGGGAGGAGATTGATGATGGGTGTGTTAAAATCCTAGAGTATGGGAACTTTGGAGAAGTATCAGAAGAGTCAGCCCACACAAGGCCTTGTGCATTATGCTAAGACCTTTGGAATTTATCTCAAGAAATTAAGGATTCTGAATTGAGATTTTAAATGGAAGCATTGTGAATAAGAGAGTAACGTAAGACTTATAATTTTGGAAGATGCTGTAGCCTGCAGTTTGGTGAATAAATCAGACAAGATGAGTGGCAGAGAGAGTAGAGAGTGGTTACCAGAAATCCAGATGAAGACTTGCAGTGACCAGGCCAGAGCAGTGTCGGGATAAATGAGAAATAGGGACATTACCAAGACATAGCAGAAAAGGTGAAATGCCTTGCTAGAGAGAAAGGCACTGCCCAGGTTTCTGTTAAGAACATATAAAAAGAGCTGGGTGCTGGTGGCTCATGCCTGCGATCCTAGCTACTCGGGAGACTGAGATCTGAGGATTGAGGTTCCAAGCCAGTCTGGGCAGGAAAGTCTGTTGAGACTCTTATTTCCAATAAAACTCATCAAAAAAGCTGGAAGTGGCACTGTGGTTCAAGTGGCAGAGTGCTTGCCGTGAGCAAAAGAAGCTCAGAGACAATGCTCAGGCCCAGAGTTAAAGCCCCAGGATCGGGGGCGGGGTGGGGGGGATATATATGCAGGTTTATAGAGAAAGTGATGGGTTCAGATTTGTCCTAGGTAATGTGAATTTCCTGGGAGACTCCCTAAAGGAAAGGTCCCATTGGCATTTCAGAAATCAGTTTCAGGAATGCATGAGTAAAGAGGTGTATGTGATATCTGGGATTCCTAGTTTATTTTCCCTTCCCAAGTTGTTACTTTAAGTGTGAAGTAATTTTGGAGAATTGTACGTTGTAACTTTCTGTATTACTCAAAGGAGAGAGAGAAAGAGAGCTATGTTAGGCTTGTCAAAACTTGTTTGGGAAATTGTGTTGACTTTTAAAGGTCAATGATCCTTGAATGAAGAGGCTTCTTGGCTATAATTCAGAAGAGGAGCCTTCCTCTTGATGCTAAATATAATGCTACAGCATATCACAAAGGGTTCTGAATATAGTCTGTGTGGCAATCTGAGTTAAATTCCACATCAAGTGCTTTCTTGGTCTGTTCAACCTGCTGTAACAAAATGTTATACATGGTCGGGGTGAGGACCATGAGAAATTAAGAAGTTCTGGAAGCTGGGAAGTCATCAAGGCACCCCCTAACTCAGTTGTGAGGTGTACTTTCCATTCACAGACCTTCTTGCTCTCCCTCCCCATGGGTGCACTGAGAGGTCTTAGGCCTGTTTATAAGAGCACTTCTCCCATTCACTCAAGAAGACCCTTCCAAAGGCACCTCCTCCTATCTTGTTGGCATTAAAACACAGGACTCTTGAGGGGACAACACAGGCATGTCTCTTCATAGAAGCTTCATGGGTGAGGACAGGGGCTCCAAAGCCACACTGCCTGGCTTTACATTTTGGCCCCATCACTTACCAACCATGTGTTCTTGAACAAATTATTTAACTTCCCTATGTTTGTTTGTTTTTTGTGACTTACAAAATGAGGAAAAAATATTACCTGGGTTCCACGTTACTATGAGGCTGAGTTAATGTAAAGCTCTTGGAACAGAAGCTACAAATGTAGCTATCATTATTGCTATTATTATCAGCATTGTTCACAGATGCGAACCTAGCTATGAGGTGCCAAGGCTAAGACTGGCATTGGGCAGATCATTCCTCAAGATGTATGGGGGCTCTTGAAAGTCACAGCTGCTTACTGTTTCCTTCTTTCTAGCTATGTGAGTGAGCAGATATGTGTTAGGAGGAAATGGGGTTGTTGGTTGCTTATTAATAAGAAACCGGGGAAATGTAGGAGCATTTCTGCTTTATTCTGCAGCACTAATGATGTCTTTTCACAGACTTGCAGATTGTAGTGTGCACCTGAGCAGATAGTGTTTTTATTCCACGAGAAACAAACACTTCCTCTTTGAAGTTCTAATAAGGAAGAGTCCTTTCTTTTCCTGAGAAGCTTTACTTTTCATTTATAATGAAAATGGGTCAAGTAAAGGAAGATCAACCATTGCTCTTATGTGAGCAAAGGGGCCAGAGGCCAGAGCACTGGGGGAGGGGGGGGGGAAAGGGAGAGGAGGAAACAGCGTCTGAGCAGTAGAAAGGGCTTGTGACAGAGTGGGATGTCTGAGCAGTGAAAAGGGTTATGAAATGTAGGGTAACAGCACAGAACAGTCAGTGTTCCTGGAAGGCAGCCACCTGCTGTATAATCAGGTACAACTGTTTCTTGATCTTCCTGGAATCCTTCCATGAAAAAATAAACTCATTTAGAGAGGGAGGATGTGTGGGGAAGGCTATTGTTAAATGATTAATATTCTCATTAGATTCTTTCCCATCAACCAAAATTTTATTTTGAATTTTACAGGAGTTCGAAAGTGATTATGTTGCATTTAAGTCCAGAACTTTGGATTTTGACAGAAGGCTGGGAACACTCCTTTGTGAAGGTTTCTGTCACTGTGGTGGTTTAGAAGCAGCATTTAAGGTAAGTGCTGAGGTCACAACTGCTGTAGAAATGAATAATTTAGGCTTTTAGATGGAAGGTTAGATGACTAGATCAGGTGGAGTATTAACCAGGCTCGCTCTGTAAATTTGGAGTCATTCATTATGGAACAATGAAGTTTAGTTGGGCAAAGTTCATTTTAGAGCATGTAATCATCGAGATTTCCTGGCAGTCATAAGGTCATGGTTCTCATTACTCTTTGGGCTGGCTGATAAAATACTGCTTTGACACTAAGCCACAGTGAAAAGTTAAAAATAATAGCTGTTAAGTCGAGGTTTTCTTTTCTTTCCCATCATTTGTTTGTTGCATTTACCTACCCACTTTATATCTTGGACTGAAATAAATATAGCCATAAGTTTCATCAAGTATATGACATTTTTGGTTGTTAGCAAATCATTCTTTATCTGTGTATTAAGAATTGCATAAAATAAAGCAATCTGGATATTTCTCCCAAGTTGAAAGCTTGTAACATGTAATAGAAACACCAGGTGGAACTTGCTTGTCAAGGAGAGAATTATAAGTCAGGTGTAAATGAATAATTAGGTGATACTCAAAAGAGAAATTGAGTAGTTTAGATGCAAAGGCACAAGGATCAGACACGATACTGTTTGATTTTTGTGGGGAACATGGCTTGGTCATGGGACTTGAACTGGGAGCCTGGGCCCTGTCCCTGGGCTCTTTTGCCCCAAGTGAGCTCTCTACCACTTTGAGCCACAGCTCCACTTCCAGTTTTCTGTGGTTAATTGGAGATAAGAGTCTCACAGACTTTCCTGCCCAGGCTAGCTTTGAACAGCAATCCTCAGATCTCAGACTACTGAGTAGCTACAGGCATGAGCCAGCGGTGCCCGACCATACTGTTTAATTTTTAACCTTCAAACACTAAATGGCCAGAACTTAGTGAAGCCACTAATGTCCTCCAGCCTCAGACGACTTTACCATGGAGAACTGACAAGAATCAAATGTCGTTCTGTGTTTTGAAAGAACTCCTTGGTGAAAGTGAAACACTGTTGAACAAAATACCTAGCTTGTTATTAAAAATCTCAATTCTCAAGTGCAATTACCATTATGTGTAATTCTGTCACTAGATTTTCTTAGACTAGATAGCCATATATACTTCTCTGGAACAAAAACAATTGCATATGGAAGTAGAGCTGTGGCTCAAGCACTAGAGCTCTAGCCTTGAACACAAGACAAGAGCTCAGGGACAGCACCCAGGCTCCAAGTTAATGCCCCAGGACAGCACAAAAACAAAACAACCCTCCCCCCTCAGCATATTCTAATCCTCCTTTTCACTTAGCCAAGCCATACATATTTTCCTTATAGCAGAATTCAACAGTATGTGTTTTTTTAAAAAAAAAAACAAAAACAAAAAACCATGGGTGTGATAGGCTATCCTATTCCTATTAGGAGAATTTGTTTTTGGCGCCTTTATAAATAATTGGAAATAAAAATGGAGAGTGAACTCTCACAACAATTTCTAATTCGTCTAGCTAGAAATCAAATTTGTCTTTAAAATTTTCTCTAAATATTAATGTCTTTATTGTCATGTGATTTTTCACATAACTGTCCACATGTTTGCACTTTGTCTATGGAAAAAACAAAGATGAAATCCTGTCCATGTATAGACTTGGTGAGAGTGGGACCTTGGCTTAGCACTTTGGTTAGGGTTGAGTTGCTTTCTGTAGCCGACAGCTAGTGGATAAGTGTCTGAGGCTAGTTGGCCTAACCAGTAAATTGAAAATTGAAATAATACACTAAGTGTACCATCGTACACTTCTGGAAAAGTAATTACAAAAGCAAGTAATTATAGGGTCATGTACTTGAGGAGAAAATGATTTTAGCCACAGGTGCAGGTTGATGAGCTCTTACCATTTACTGTTAGTTCCAAGAAAGAAATATGTGTAGCCTGTTCTTTGAAGATGACAATTGGATGCTTGCTCTTTTCAAAGACATGGCCAGGAAGGAAATTAAGCACTATTCAGTTCTAGTATAAATCTGTAATTCTTCAAAACCCAGAGTGATGATATTCTCACTGAAAAACAAAGCACAATAATAAATGACTGTCTAAAATTTATGTGAAGGTGAACTGAAACATGTAAGAAAAAAAACTGTCTGGAATAGACTTTAAACCATATATAAGTGAAGCTCCCTTATCCAAAATACCAAAATCTGAAATGCTACAGAACCCAAAACTTTCTGTGCTCTAGTTTGATGTGAAGGAAAACACTTGTATTCTTCATAAAATAACTCACCGTTCTTTAACAAGGTATCAAAAGAGGTTTCTGTCATATGCTGGAGGTGGTTTTTACATATTTGTGATGATGTATGAGGACCGTGTCTTCTGCCTAAGATGTGGGAGCCTCTGCTACTACTTTCTGGCTACTACTTATGTCTTTACTTTTTCACACTTGGTGTTTAGGTCCCACTAAGCTGTAGCTAGAAGTTCCTACTCCTATTTCAGTTATGAATGTGTTTAAAAAACAATACTGTGAAATAATGGTACTTCCCACTTATTGCTGGGATTACACTTTGTTAAACCTATGAAGCACTGTTGACTTTTCAACTTACCTGAAATCCAAACTCAACAAAAATAATGCTAGGAGAAGAAGGTTAATAGTTTACATTTTTCTTGATAGCAGCTAACTAAACATGTTTAAACATATTTATCAATTTCTTCTAAAGTTAAAATTGACATTACCAGAAAAGCCAGATTATTTGTCTATACTGGCCAATAGTTTGTACATACTTTAGTTTGTATATACTTTTTATTCTTTTTCCATTGCATGTAGTTGTAGATATATTTGTGAAACTTTTAAAATGAAGCTTTAATAAAATAATGTTTGAGGGCCACATTTTCTTAAGAAGAGAACAAAACTTTTTTTCCTTATAATATAAAACACATTTTTTTGGTCTGTTGTGGGGCTTGAATCTGGGCCTGGGTATTGTCCCTGAGCTCTTCAGCTCAAAGGGGCTTGAAGTCTTGAATTCATGGCCTGGGTACTGTCCCTGAGCTTTTTTACTCAAGGCTAGAGCTCTAACACATTGAGCCACAGCTCCCCTTCTGGTTTTCTGTGGTTAATTGAAGATAAGAACCTTGTGGACTTTCCTGACTGGGCTGGCTTTTGAACCACGATCCTCAGAGCTCAGCTTCCTGAGTAACTAGGATTATAGGAATGAGCCACCAGTTCCCCACTGGAAAACGCAGTTGTTGTGACACCTTGAATACATTTAGTTATTTTGAAATGTCATCGTATAGAAAATGTTTGAAAGTGCTTATGTGAAAGCCTAATGGTGGCATATTATGAAGCTCATGTGAAATAGTTCGATAATAAAATGTACTAGTCCTTCCTTATGCACAGGTGACATGGACAAGGCTCAAGGGACTGCCCGAAGCAAGGGAAAGCACAGAGCCCTGTGCGTGCTCTGCTTCACCCTCCTTTTACCTGTGCATGCTAAAGTTGGGTTTATAAATGAGACACAATGAGAGAGTGATAATCAAAACTAGCAATAAATAGAGCAAGTAGAACCAAGTAATGAAAGTTCGTTAAAGCATACCAATTGTTTATTTCTGGAATTTTCCATTGGATGAATTTGAATTGCAGTTCAGCAAACTGTTTCAGTAACTACAACCCTAGAAAGCTGCACCTGGGGTAAGTAGAGGACTAATGTGACCTGACTTTCAGTGGCCAATAAGAGACACTTGATGAAGCATAGACCCAGGTACCAGGTGGCCTGCTTTTAAACCCTAGTTCTGCCAGTAGCTGTGTGAATTTTGGCACGTTATTCCCTTTCCACAACTTTTTTTTTTTCTCATCTGGAGCAGAAGATAAGAGCATTTTAAAGGCTCCTAATAGGCAGTGCCTGGTACACACTACTGTATGAATCCTGATTATATAGAAATATTAATGACATCATTTTGTTTGCAACAAAAGCCGTCTCATGCTAGCACACAAAAGAGCCCTGCTGGACAATAAGCCATTCAGGAGGCTAGTGGGAATGCAAGGTTAGGCTCACTTAGCTCAGCTTCATGGAACGTAATGCTGGAAACCTAGGGGCCTCCACTGAGCAAGAGGAGAGGGTTGACCTTTCTTCTTCTGTCTTGTGGGCACTTTGAACCTTTCAGTCCATACTGTCTACTTTTTTCCGTCCGTTCTCCATTGGCTGCTTCTGCTTGCTGGTAGTTTCCACTTGCAACAATAGCAGACATGGATTCAGCCAACTGTGCTGACTGAGAGAGAGAGAATTGATTTAGCTTCAGGAATTGTTCTGACCCACACATTTGTGTCAGAGGAAGCCACTAAGCAGGGCCTGCTTTTGGAACAGTGACTATTATTGCTCCAGGCCACTGTAGAGGTGGCTAGCTCTTGTGAATGCACAAGAAGCCATGGGCAGTGGTGCATTTATTGTAATTATTGGTGGTATGACCAAAAGGGCCTCAATGTGGACACAGATATTCTTTATTTGTTGTTTTCTTCCTCTTCCTGCTTCCCTTCTTCCTCTTCTTCCTCCTCCTCCTCTTGGTGGTACTGAGGTTTGAGCTCAAGGTCTTGTTCTTCCTTAACTTGCTTGATTAGTTGATCCTCCAGATCTCAGCTTCTGGCATAGCTAGTATTGCAGGCATGCACCACCAGTGTGTCACTGGGATATTTTTGTATCTCAATACAAAAAATACCTGTATGTGTGAGAGAGGGAGAACAAATAACATGTACTTAAGTCTTCTATTCTTCTGCATGGATACTGAACAGGAAGTAGTATTAGCTGTTGGCAGGTACTACTGACAATTAGTGGCTCATCTGACCTCTCATTTTTCACTGAGGAAAAGAAATTATATCTAGGTTTTGTAAAAATTGTAAGAGATATAAAAATGTTTCAATTTTGAGGTATTACAATGTCCTTTTAGGGTTCTAGGCTTTGCTTCTAGTCATAAAAAAGGATTGATGGGGAGAGTTGTGAGCTGAATATTTGTGTTAAAATCTCATTGTTCTTAACCTTTCTTTATCTTTGATTTTTTTGTAGCTTTTAACCATATTTGGGAACTTTCTAGAGAAACCAGTTGTCATGGAAATTTTCAGCCCCCATTACAGCACATTAGTGAACATGTTCAATACAGAGCTGGATGTGTGTAAGCAGTTGTATAATGAACGAATGAAACAGGTGAGTGGTGGAAATACATTCACAGGGAACTTTTTTGTGGTTAATGGCCATTAACTAGAACTACATTTCATTATAGCTAAAGGCTATATATATATATATATGTATGTTATGATTTAGTTTTGCCATGGAGATGGAGAACTTACTTGATAGGATATTCAGATATATATGTATATGTACATATATCTGTACATGTATACATATACAGATATATATCTGTATACACATACATATACATATATGTATGGGTATATGCATACATATATACACACATATACATATGTATATATACATATATACATATACATATATCTGTATATGTATGTAAATATAAAGGTAGCATGGTAAACATTGGCTTACAGGTTGGAAGGCTCCCTGCCTACATGTTCCTTTCTTCCCCTTCTCTGAAACATCCCCTTGCAGATTGAACATGGTTATGTAGTCCTTAACAAGAACATGCCTTTTACTTCTGGAAATATCAAGTGGGCCAGAGAGATCCTTGACCGCCTTCATATGTTTTGGTCAAACTTCACATCTCTCCATTATCTGTAAGTTATCAAGCATATTCTACGGTATATTCTGCAAATGTTATAGGTGGTTTATGTACAAAGCAGTGAGCTCTTCATAGCACTTCAGAAATTGTCTTTTTCAGTACCTTTTTTTCACTTTTTTTTAAATTGTGAAAATACCATACAAAGGGGGTTACAATTACATGGACAAGGTAATGAGTACATTTCTTATCAAGCATTGTTGCCTCCTGCTTTGTTTCCCCTTCCTATCCCTTCCCATCCGCCCCCCCCCCAGCCAAAGGTGTAAAGTTCATTTTTTGACATAACAACTTGTACATCTCATTGTTGCAATGGGTCCACCTGTATCCCTTAAACGATTTGTTTTTGCCCTTCCCCTCCACAAATTATACCAACATCAAATACAATGAAAGCAGGGGTTATACCGTGGGAGAGGGACATACAAAGCAACAAAGAAATCATCTTATAAATATGTTAGAAAAAAATCGCATGGAAGAAAACACATTTGAACACTTATGTTTGGGGGTTTGTTATTTTTCCTTTTTTCAATGACAGGTAGATCTTCTTTCATGCTGTCCTAGGTGCCTTTTGTACATCTTTGTAGAAATTCATAACTTGTTGCTGTTGACATTTTAGAAAAGCTTTGGTGCTCTATTCATTTATAACTATCTTTTAAAGCAAAAGCAATGTAAAATATTTTATCTTTATGGCTTTTCTTCCTGTTTGCAAAATATTACCTATTTTGAGTCGAGTATATATTACACAATTTGCAATTTATCAATATATAGAAAAGTAGAAAACCTTATTCTTGCAGATTCTTGGGCAACCCTGAGGAAGCTATGGTTTCTCAGAAGTATGTTGAGATGACAACTCTGCTAGACCAATTTGAAAGTCGCATCTATAATGAATGGAAAAGTCATGTGGATGAAACCTGTGCATTCAGCTTGAATCAACCCTTGATTAAATTTAGCACTGTAAATGGTCTTCTTACTGTCAATTTTGACCCAAAGGTAGGAACTTGGATTTTCAGAAATGTTTTATGGATGCTGCTATTATCATAAGTGTATTTCTGAAGTACTTTTTGAAATATTTATAAATACATTTCTAGGCAGGGTGCAGGGGTATAAGCCTATAATCCTACCTATTTGGGAGGTGGAGATTGGGGGGGGGTCATGGTTCAAAGGCAACATGGATATAAATATAATACTCCATCTCAACCAATGGGTGAGCATAGTTGTATGTTCCTATCATCCCAGCGATACAGGGGAAGAATAGGTAGGATTGAAGTCTAAACCACTCTGAGCATAATGAGGCCCTATGTTGAAAATAGCCAACATAAAAATGGGTATATACAGGGGCTTCAGTTGTAGAGTGCCTGCTTAGCAAGTACAATGTCATGAGCTCAAGTGCCAATACCCTCAAAAATAAAATAAGTAGGCCGGGAGCTGGTGGCTCACACCTATAATCCTGGCTACTCAGGAAGCTGAGATCTGAAGATTACAGTTCAAAGCCAGCCCAGGCAGGAAAGTCTGTGAGACTCAAATCTCCAATAAACCACAGAAAACCAGAAGTGGCACTGTGGCTCAAGTGGTAGAGCACTAGGCTTGAGCTAAAGAGCTAAGGGACAGTGCCCAGGCCCAGAGTTCAAGACCCATGACATACATACATACATACAATCATAAATAGAAAATAAGTATATTTCCCATCATTGACAATTCATTTTGGAAAAATGGCAGTGCTATAAGGAATGTAAACAATTTCCAGTCACGTTTTAGAGATTTGTTTTTTTTTTTAATTAGTCTTCATTTTCTTGAAATTATTTCTTCTCCATTGTACCCTCACTTGACAGTGAGATACTAACAGTAGGGTCTATTTCATTTCTTTGGGTTTTGGAGTTGGTAATAGAGTCTGGCATTTGGCAACAGTTACATGTCTTTTCATAACATACGCCAGCTTTTTAGTTAAAAAATTACCATGAGCCAAGAGTGGCAGCACATACACACACATATAATCTAAGGTATTGTGCATGAGGATTGCCCAGGCAAAGTGAGAAACCTGATCTGTAAAACAAAAAGGGCTGCAGTGTGGCTCAAGTAGTTGAAAGGGCCTCCTAAGCAAGACGTCCTAGGTTCAATCCTCTGTACTGTCAATAAAATGAAACAAAACAAGTCAGATGTTGGCTGGTGGTTCACGCCTGTGATTTTAGTAGCTATTCAGAGATCTGAGGATCACAATTTGACGCTGGTCTCTATTTAACCACCAAAAGACTGGAAATGAAGCTGTAGCTCAAGTGGTAGAAAGATAGCCCTGAATAAAGAAGATCAGGGATAATGCCCAGTTCTTGAGTTCAAGGCCCTGGGCTGGCATATACACGGAAACCTTTTTGTGAAGTTAAGGTTTGGGGATTCACCATGAAATGAGATAAAGACCTTTCCTTGAGCCTCTTTGTGCTCACAGCAAGTGCTACTACTTGAACCACACCGCCACTTCCAGTTTTTGAGTGGTTAATTGGAGATAAGAATCTCATGGGGAACTTTTCTGCCTGCCCCAGTTTCAAACTGTGATCCTCAGATCTCAACTCCCTGAGTATCTCGGATTACGGGTGTGAGCCACAAGTGCCCAGCTTTATCTTTTAAGTAGTTGTACAAAGTGGTTTCCATTCAACATGTCAGTTTAAGAGTACAATGCATCCTGATCAATGTTACCCCTCTATCAATTAATTTCTCTCAAAGGGAAAATAAACTTGTATATGGTAGTTAAACTGATAACTTAATAATTAAATTTTATTTAAAACATAAAACAACATATTAATATAAACCAGTTTTAACACTTAAATCTTGCCTTTACTGAACAGATCTGCTGTTGCCTGTGACTTACCACATCACAAAGTTCGTATTTTCTCATATAATTAGATGTTAAATGAAAGTAGAAGTACAGAAACCTAAACGATCATATATAGGAATTATACAATGTACATATAATAAATATTAGGTGTTTATGAATGTACTTATAGTATATTTTAAGCAACTTATTTCCTGATCTTCGATATTCTTTTCTTTTTTCTTTAATTGTATAAAGGAGTTGCCATTTAGCAAAGCAGTTTGCGAATATAATAGATCTTGATCGATGCCATTCTTTCACTCCTCCCCTACTCACTCCTTCCCTCATTTTTTAAAATTTTGTAGGATATACATTGGATTCTTGTCTGCATTTCCCCCTCTTATTTTGTCTTCCCCTTTCCCCTTGACCCCTCCCACCCCCACCCTAGGTTCCTTTGAGAACCTGCTTCCTGGTGTTTTATTCTGCTGAACTTTAATTTCGGCTTTCTAAGGAAGTACATGATTTGAGATCTCCCTTGAATATGCTGTATTTCAGTTCATACATTTGTATATGCTTAAGTTTAGCTTCTTAGAGAAGAGGTACAAAATAAGTTTTTTCTTTTTTCCTCTATTTGCCTATCCATGGATATGCTTTACAGTAAAGGATAAGTTTCTGTGACCTCCTCATGCCCCCAAAATACCAAATGTAGTTTCATCTGGCTGAATTTTTCCATCATGAAGACAATTTGGTCACTATTAGTGCTTAGCCAGCATCGTTGCTGACAGTGTAAATATGTGCCTGTAAGAGCTTGAGTGTTCGTACATGTACTGTAATTCTGTTCTGTTTCCAAGGGAAAATACATTCTGCAAAGGAAACTCAAAATCTTTGATCTAGAGAACTGAGGATCATCTCTTCCTTCCGATTTCATAAAACCAACTTATAGGAATGAATTTCTTAAATATACTTTAGAGTTCAAATTACTGTCAATTTGACCGTCACATACAAACTTATTTTTCCCTCTGAAAAAAATTGCAACCAGTAGCAATAGGCCACTGTCCACATAAAAACAAGTCTTCATTCCATTTCATCTGAACTTTCATAACATTGTAATTGATTAAAAAACTAGCTGGATGCAGGTGGCTCACAAAGGCTGAGATTTTGAGGACTGTGGTTAGAAGCCACTCTAGGCAGGAAATTGTGCGAGACTGTTATCTCCAATTAAGCCCTCCACCAATGAGCAGAAAGGAGAGCTGTGGCTTAACAGTAGAACACCAGCCTTGAGTGGAAAAAAGCAAAAGAGTCAGGCCCTGAGTTCAGGCCCTAGTAACAGGGCAAAAACATCCTAATAAGATAACCTAGCATATGTAACCTAACATATGTTATAAGCATAATAGAGTTCCTATACATGTTATGGAATGTATAATCTGGGATCATAAAAGTCATATGAAATTTGTTTAATGGTTTGGGACTAAAGTAGGTATTGGTTGAAATTTTTAAGTGCTTCAAGTTAAACTTGTGGTAAAATGGAATCTAGCTATAATCCTCAATCTTCTTTCAATAGCTTGTGGCTGTCTTGAGAGAAGTGAAATATCTTTTGATGCTGAAGAAATCTGACATACCGGATTCAGCTTTAGCCATTTTCCAGAAAAGGAACACTATTTTAAAGGTTTGTGAGTTTAGATCTGAAAGCGTATTTTTGCTTAGAGGTATTTTGTATTTTAACTATTAGTGTGCAGACCTATGGCACGTTGGTACCACTAGGATAGACAAACAAGCTAACATATTTGACCTTTGTCTTCTCTGCTCAGTACATTGGGAAACTTGAGCTTCTTGTGCATGGGTACAATAAGCTGAAACAGACCCTTCTGGAAGTTGAATACCCTCTGATTGAAGCTGAGCTGGGAGCTATTGATGAGCAACTCCAAGCTGCTGCGACGTGGCTGACATGGCAGGATGACTGCTGGGCCTATGTAGAGAGGGTGCAGGAGGCCACGGCTGAGCTGGAGCGCCGAGTGGTGCTCACACAGCACAATGTGCATGCGCTCCAGCAGATGATGCGTGCCTGGGTGGAGTGTCCGCTCCTGCCCAGGAGAGAGCACAGAAGGGAGACCGTCTTGGCTTTGGAGGACAAGGGCGATCTGTTTGCTAAAAAGTACAAGTTAATCCAAGAGGATGGCTGTAAGATACACAACTTGGTAGAGGTAACGGCCTTTAAAGATTTTGAGAGTTATACATCTTTTAGCTTAGAGAATGGTTTGCTTCAGCCTTTCAAGTGGAAACCTTTGTGTTATTTGCTTGTAATTTCCGTAGCCCTTACTACCCTAATTCCTGAGGGTAGAGATGAGAATGTGAGCAGTTTGATTAAAAAAAAAAGAAGAAGCTAAAGGTTGGATCCCCCTCTCTGTCCTAGTTCCTTTCTTTTGGGGATGCTATTATTAGTGGTCACTGTTGGTTGAACGCCTCTGAAGTGTCAGGTTATGGAACCCCCTCCACCTTCTCTAAGGAAGGCAGCTATAGTTACTCTGTGTGTGTGTGTGTGTGTGTGTGTGTGTGTGTGTGTGTGCGTGTGTGTGTGCATGTGCATGTGTGCGTGCATGTATGGGTGTGTGCACCCGCATGGGTGCACACACATATACAGCTGTCACAGGCTTTGAGATACCTAAGGAATAAAAAAATTGGAAATACAAGAAAAAAAGAAAATCTTCTTAGAGTTTTCTTAGCGCAAACCTGTAATCCTAGGTACTCAGGAGGCTGAGATCTAAAGATCACGGTTCAAAGCCAGCCCAGACAGGAAAGTCCATAAGACTGTTATCTCTCCAATTAATCACAGAAAAAACCAGAAGTGGTGCTGTGGTTCAAGTGGTAGAGCACTAGCCTTGAGTAAAAGGAGCTCAAGGACAGTGCCCAGGCCTAGAGTTCAAGCCCCAGGACCAGCAAAGCAACAACAACATAACAACAAAGGTTATCAATTTAAGAGAAAAATCAATGAAAAACAAAAGGGAGAAAATAGAACAAAGACAAACACAGAGAAAAGCAATGTTTATGTCACTCTAGTCAGGGAAGGTGGTAACAGGAAAGCACAAATATGTAACATGTTGTTATTAAAATAGTGACAGTAGGCTGGGCACTTGAAGTTCACTGCTGTAATCCAAGCTATTTAGGAAGCCGAGATTGAGAGGATCACAGTTCCAGTGCAGCCGAGACAAAAATGTTCATGAGACCCTTTCTCCACATGGGCATGGTGGCACACACCATCTATGTACAGTAGGAAGCATAAATAGGATCTCAAAAACAACCAGAGTAAAAAGGATGGGAGGCATGGCTCAAGTGTAGAGTGCCTTTGGTGATTTTTTTCCCTCCTTGGCTTCTCAATGCTTGACTGAGAACCCAGTGCTGATGCTGTGGGTGGGGAGAGGGCTAGGGGATGCACACAGTAAGCAGCCTGCCTCTTCTGCTGTGGGATGTCAGTGCTTGCTCTGGGGAGAGTCTCAGATGGTGAAGGAGGAAAGAGGTGTAGAACTATGGAGGTTGAGTCCGAAAAGACTCAGTTCAGAGCACCCATACCACCTTTTTCTTTCACAACATTTCAGATGAAGGACAACAGGGATGTAAATTGGATCACTTGTTATGAACCAAGTGTATGTGTGTATGCAGGCATCCGAGGTCTAGTTTCCTGAGTTAGCTCAGCTGCCTGCTACCTAACAGGGTGACAGTGACTGCATTAATGGCATTTATATTTCATATCATTAAAATAAGAGACTGAACATGATAGCCTGTAAGGTTGTTTTGCATTTGCTCTAATATCCCTCCACGCTGCTCTGCCCAGCTTTCTGGGGTATACACTATATAACTGCAGAGCCATGGGTCACATGAATTTTACATGTGTGAATGGTCCCACTTAGATGGTGGGCAGCATGCCATCTTCAAGAGGAGCAACAGATCTCTCCTTTGGGCTCTGCCTCATCAGGAGCAGCTATCTCACCTCTGTATTTCTGATGGCTGCACAAAGGGCACACCTGTGCACTCTGGGACATGTATCCATGGCAGAGAATAATTAGAGCAGAGTATCAAGGTGGTTATCAGCTGTCAGTCTTATGTGATGTCTCTTCGTAGTGTAAAGTTTCCGCCTTGAGCACTGCCTCCTGTTATGTATGGACTGTGTAGCATTTGCTACTCAGGGCTTTTGTTTGTTTGTTGGCAATCAACCTTGTCCGTGTGGCCATTTCACACAGTCTCTAGCACACTGATGTCCAAACTATAGCAGTCCTTCATTGCGTCTCTGTCTTCAGGTACTGGTTTATTTTGTTTTTGTTTCTTTTTAAATTATTATGTTTTTCTTTCTTTTTTTCCCCCTGGTCCTAGGGCTTGAACTCTGGATCTGGGCTCCATTCCTGAGCTCCTTTAGCTAAAGGTAGTGCCCTATCACTTGAACATAGTACCACTTAAAACTTTTTTTTTAATGATATATTGGAGATAAGAGTCTTACGGACTTCCTGCCTGGGCTGACTTCCAACCACGAGCCTCAGATCTCAGCCTTCTGAGTAGCTAGCATTACAGGCGTGAGCTGCTAGCATGAGCTACTGACACCCAGAAATGTTTAAGTATTTTAATTATTGTTATAAATATAACACAGAAGGGTTGCTTCTTCATAAGTCAAGTAGAGTACATTTCTTTTTGGACAATTTCACTCCTTCCTTTGCTCTTTCCCAGTTTTTTCCTCCCATCCCGGCCCACAAGTTGTTTAGTTCATTTTCAGCATAGTGTCTAATATGTACCACTGCTGCATTTGTTTACCCTTCCCCCCATTTCTGTGTTGTTATTTTTAGTTGTACAAAGGAGTTGCCGTTTAACAAAACAGTTTATTAATACAATGCATCTTGATCAGTGACGTGCCTTTCAATATTCTCACCCATTCATCCCACCACACTTCTTCCCTTATTTTTCTTACTAGTGTATGTATATATTGACAGCATTCTCTCCCTCCTCATTGTTCATCTAGCCCTCTTGGAAGTAACTGTTTCCTGGTTCTTATTTTGCTGGGTTTTGACTTTGACTTTCTAAGAAATTGTAATAAAGCTCCCTTGAAACTACCATATTTCAGTTAATATGTTTAGACCCACTTGAATACCAACCAGTGTGTTTATTTATAGGTTTATAGGCTAATTCTCAATTCCACACATGAAGGAAACAAAGCAACTTTTGTCTGTTTGGGCCTGACTTAATGTTTTCTAAGTCTTTCAATTTCTTTGCAAGTGGCACAATATCATTCTTTCTAATGGATAGGTAAAATTTCTTTGTGTGTATGTACCATATTTTTTTGATCCATTCATCAGGCATCTGGGCTGGTTCCATGCCTTGGCTATGGTGAATAGTGCTGCAATAAGCATGGTTGTGCTGATGGCTTTAGTGTAACCTTATTTGTAGTCTTTTGAATAAAGTATCCAGAAGTTGGAATTTCTGGGTTATAGGGTAACTCTATGTTTAGTTTTTTGAGGAACCTTTATGCTGCTTTCCAAAGTAAGCAAGTTTACATTCCCACCAACAATATAAGGGTTCTCTTCTGGCCACATCCTTACCAATATCTATTACTGTTAGTTTTCTTGATAATAGTTGAGCCCTATTTTGCCCCACCCACCTGTCCAGTGTTTTATTTATGCTTTTGAGAAATGCCGAGGCAGAAGAAGCTAATCTTCTGGGATCACAAAGGAGGCTAAGACTTAAGTTCATGTTTCCCCAAACTATGTTTCCCATAGGTTGTAATATGTACGTATTTTTTGGGTGGAATAAGGCTTGGAAGCAATTAGACCAAACCAAATTCAATGGATTTAATGGAGTAGGTATACTGCAAGTCTTCTAGACACAGCTCTTCCTTGACTTATGAGTGTTCAGATATCCAAGAACAGTTGTAAGAAGGATGAGTAAGAGACATCTCATTTACGGGCAAAAGCCTTGGAAGGCAGAGTCCAGGTCAGTGTGGAGTTAGAGACAGATCAAGAACTACAGCTTAAGTCAATAAGTTTAGATTTCATTAAGAGCTAGTGTTTGTCCTGTCTATTTGAGGATAGAATCTTGCATATTTTTCCTATAAAGAATGACTTTTGAATGTATACTGGATATATATTTATTGTTATAAAATCCTGCTTAGATCTTGACCACGTTGCTCAATGTTCTGTGGCCTGCCATTTGAATGTTCTTGTGCTATACCAGCATTCAGTTTTTCTTTTTTTTTAAACAAGCCTTTGCAATATAAAGCTTTTGTTTTTATATTTGTCATTCATTCATTCATTTATTGTGCCAATCCTGGAGCTTAAAGTCAGGGCACAGACTCTCTCCCTGAGCACTTTATTTTTCTCAGTGTTAGTGTTTTATCACTTGAGCTGCAGCTCCACTCCTGGCTTTTTTTGTGTGTGCTTAGTTGGAAATAAGAATCTTACAGGCTTTCTTGCCGAGTGGCTTTGAACCAAGATTTCAGATCTCAGCTTCCTGAGTAGCTAGGATTATAGGTTTGAGCCACTGGCACATATTGGTTTTGAATATTCATGTTTTAACACTTGTCTATTTCTAGGAAAACAGAAAGCTCTTCAAAGCCAATCCTTCTCTGGACACATGGAGAATTTATGTAGAGTTCATTGATGACATGGTGGTAGAGGGCTTTTTTCAGGCTATCTTGCATGACTTAGACTTCTTCTTGGTGAACACAGAGAAGCAATCAAAACCTGCACCATTTTTTCAAGCACAAATGATCTTAATGCCCCCAGAGATAGTGTTCAAACCTCCGATGGAAAGAGAGGCTGGGGATGGCTTCTACGATCTTGTAGAAGAAATGCTCTGCAGTAGCTTTAGAATGTCTGCCCAGATGGAGCGAGTGGCAGCTCATCTAGAAATAGCCAACTATCAGGTATGTTCTTTGAAAATAGTGGTTACATTTTTCCTTAAATTAGTGATCCAAAAATAATGGAGATCTTGGGAAACATAAGAAAAGAAGTTGTTAAACAATGCCATAATTTTTTTTTGCCAACTACTTTCCCTTTCAAGATTTGTCTTGGAAAATAAGTCTGTTGCACACAATCAATAGAATAAGAGTTCTTTGAAGAAAATATGTGCTTGGTTTTCCTCTTGTTTAGAATGATATGGAAAACATGTTGGGCCTGGCAGAGATCAGGCAGGAGATCATGAACAGAGTGGCAGATGTCATCAACAAAGTCTTGGACTTCAGGAACTCCCTGGAGACATACGCTTACCTCTGGGTGGATGACCGAGCAGAGTTTTTGAAGCACTTTCTCCTGTATGGTCATTCGGTATCACCTGAGGAGGTAGATGCCCGTGCCAATGAAGAAATCCCTGAGCAACCACCAACTCTTGAGCAATTCAAAGAGCAGGCAAGGAAAATTTAGTACTTAATATAGTTAATTGACTTGTCCTGGGGTGGTTGTAGTTATTTTTTATTGTTCTAATCTGTAGATCGACATTTATGAGGCCTTGTATGTTCAGATGAGCAAGTTTGATGACTTCAAAGTGTTTAATAGTTGGTTCAAGGTGGACATGAAACCTTTTAAATTGAGCTTGCTAAACATGATTAAGAAATGGAGCTGGATGTTCCAGGAGCATCTTCAAAGATTTGTCATTGACAGGTAGCCTTTATATTTTGTTATTTGAAATTATTCCAACTTCTGTTAACAGTTAATTATTTTGTAATTGAGCATTAATATTTTAAGAGCACTGATATTGTCAGTTTTGTAACAGATAATGTATAATGATTAATGAGATACATAATGACAGTAAGATTCAATCAAATATTAGCTATGCATAGTAGCTCACATCTGTAATCCTGGCTACTTAGGCTGAGATCATGAGGATTACGGTTGGAGGCTAGCCTGGGCAAAAAGTTCATAAGTTTTCCATTTCAACCATTGAAAAAAACCCAAGCAAGGTGTGTCGTATTAGCTACATAGGAAGCAGGTGAGGGAGGAGTTGGGGAGGTGGGGAGGAAAGGGATGGTAGGGGAAAACCAAGGGAGGAGGTAACAATGCTCTATAGGAAATGTACTCAGTACCTTCCTCATGTAACTGTAACCCCATGTACAGAATTTTTACAATAAAAACATATATATTTACAACAAAATCCAAAAAGGCTTTAGAAATGTGTCAAGGGGCAGAGTGTCTACCTAGCAAGTATAAGACTTTGAGTTCAAACCTCAGTATTTGACAAAAGTCTGAATCAAATCTTATGCTGCTAAATGCTTTAATGAACTTAGTTTGTGTGTATTTACATGTATATTTATACATTTAATAGTCTGAATGAGCTACAAGAATTTATAAAAGATACAGATGGTGGACTTCAGAAAGAACTGAATAAAGGGGACCACAATGGCTTAGTTGACATTATGGGGCATCTTCTGGCTGTAAGAAGCCGACAGAGGTCCACTGATGAGCTCTTTGAACCTCTGAAAGAAACTATCGCACTCCTGGAAAGCTATGGTCAGACAATGCCTGAACAAGTCTACATGCAGTTGGAGGTAAGTGTAGAGGGAAAGCACAGTGATCTTAAATCAAGCATTTCCTTTTACGAAATACTTAACACACACAGTCTTGAAGCCCTCTTAACAGTCTCTACTGTAGGTATTAGTATTTTATTATTTTTTGTTTCTCTTTCCTTCCTTCTTTCTTTTTCTTTCTCTCCCTCTCTTTCTCTCTTCTTTCTCTTTCTGTCTCTCTCTTCCTCTCTCCTCTCTCTTTCTCTTTTCTCTCTTTATCTTCTCTTTCTCTTCTCTCTCTTCTCTCTCTTTTTCTTTCTTTCTCTCTTTGTCTGTCTGTCATGGGAATTGAACTCAGAGCCTGGGCACTTTCCCTGAGCTCTTTTGCTCAAGGCTAACTCTCTACTACTTTGAGCCACAGCTCCACTTCTGTTTTTTGAGTGGTTAATTGGAGATGAGTCTCACAGGGATTTTTCTGCCTGATCTGGCTTCACATCTTGATCCTCAGATATCAGTTTCCTGAGTAGCTAGGATTACAGGTGTGAGCTACCAGTACTCAGCTGGCATTAGTATTTTCATGCAACAGGTCAGGAACCTAAAGCTTAAGCAAATTAATAACTTTTTCAGTGTCATACAAGTAGTAAAGCCAACTAACACTGAATTCTAGGTGTATTTTATGACAGAGTACTCATTCTTCATTACTATGCTCCAATGCCTTCTGTATATCCAAGTGGTAGACAGCCTCTTCATCCATTACATTTTTTTGTCTGTACCATGGTTGATATTATGTCCTCGTACTTGCTTGGCTGGTGTCCTACCATCTGAGTAATGCCTTTAGTTCTGTTTTTCTGGATTTTTTTGGTCGGTCATGTGGCTTGAACTCTGGGCCTGGGTGCTGTCCCTCAGCTCTTTAGCTCAAGGCTAGTGCACTACTACTTTAGCCACAGCGCCACTTCCAGTTTTCTGGTGGTTTTTTGGAGATAAGAGTCTCATGGATTTTCCTGCCTCCCCCCCCCCGCCCCCCGCTTTGAACTGGGATCCTCAGATCTCTGCCTACTAAGTAGCTAGAATTACAAGCATGAGTCACAGGTGCCCAGCTTGCTATATATATATATATAGCAAGCTGGATATTTTTGAGATAGGGTCTTACTTCTACCCTGATATGCATTTGAACCACTATCCACCTGCTTTAGGTTTCCTGTCATTGCTGGGGTCACAAGCATGTGCCATTGCATCCTTCCTTTGAGCTGGAGTCCGACTTTTTTTGGTCCAGGTTGGCCTGGAGCCACAGTCCTCCCAATCTCAGCCTCACACATAGCTTCCTATGACAGGCATGTACTACTTTGCCCAACTATGAGTTGAGGCTGCTGTATAAAAGATGCTGAAGTTTAAAAAAATTCTAACTGAATTTATGAACCCAGGACTCACAACTGAGCCGCTTCTGTCATGGTCAGGTAGAGTGATAGGACAAGCTGTGGATGGATAAACACACAATAGGATGGAGAGCTGAAATAGTTACAGGAGATCCAAGTACAAAGATTGTTTTAAGATTTAGGTACTCTTTGAGTCAGATTTTAGATTTGATCTATATCTCATAGAGAAGCCAGTCCCATAAGTAATCAGTGAGGGAGTTTTAAACATAGACTTTAAATTTGGGATTATTAAATTCTCAATTTCTAAGGTTCAGTATTTGGAAGCAGGGCACTTTTGGTATTTGCATCATTATGTGAGTAATTTAGGCTGTTCAGGAGGAAAAATAGACAAATTGTACCTGGAAAGTAACAGGATTCCAATCTTTTCATGTTCAGTTTGTTTCATGATCATAATCAGTTAGTTTCCTAGATCTTTGTCTCTCCTGAAAATAAACCCCTACCTTTCCAACCCCACCCATACCCTCAAGTTACACAGTTCCATTTCATAGATACACATTGAGTATTCTGACCATATTTGCTCACCTTCTCTCTATTTGTCTGCTTCCCTCCCTTTGACTCCCAGCAGAACATGTTTCAGCTTCCTGTATTCATTTAGTCAATTTGTTAGTGTGCATGTGCATATGACCCTGTGTATGTTTATATATGTTTATAAATTAGATCTGATTTCCACATATGAGAGAAAACATGCACTTTTTGTATCTCTGAATGTGACTTCACTTGATTTCCCTGAATATGACATATTTTTCCAGATGGATGAGTAAAATTGATATATATAAATATATGCTCTCTCTATATACATATGTATGTATTTATGTATATGTTTATATATGCACACACATTTTCTCAATCCATTTGCTCATTGAAGGGTATATGGACTGTTTCTATAATTTGGCTATGGTGAATCGTGTTGCGGTGAACATGGAGGTGCAAGTGTCTTTATGACTTGTGATCGCTAGACGATAGGGTAGTTTTATGTTTAGTTTTGTGAGGAATCTCCAAACCAGCTTCCAACAATGTAATTGGGTTCCTTTACCTCCCATCCCCACAAGAATTTGTTGTTGTTTGTATTCTTTTTTTTTTTTTTTTGCAAGCGGCAATGAGTTGTTTATTGTGTTGTTTGTATTCTTAGTGGTGCAAAGTAGCAGGATAAAAATCAACCCACAAAAAGCTTTTCCAATTCAGTCTGTCTTTCTTCTGACCTCAGCCCCAGCAGTAGTTTCTTGGTTCAATGCATTTGTGTTCATACTCCATCTACACAGTCTACCCTGAATTCACAGTTCCCTTCCTGCTCAGAAACCTTCATCTGCTGTTGTCTCACCTACGAGGGTTGCCCAGAAGGGCCCATAGTCTGCCCCATCCTATTTAGTTGCCCCCTCAAAGGACTTCGCTATTGGCTGAAATCAAGTTGCCTTTGAACTTCAGATTCAGTGTTACCACCTGGATCATCTCAGTTATATAGACTTTGGAAATGCCATTTGATGCTTATGTTTTCAAGAAAGCTTGTTTTTTCTTTTTGTTTAAGCATAAGCTTGTTTGGATTCCTCAAGTGCAAAATCGGTTTATTGACCTTGGAGGGCCATTGTTTAATGTGACTTTTTAAAGCCAGCTGTGGCTTCTGAAAGGACTTCAGGTAATATTTAGTTCATGGAATGGAATTCAAATATAGAATGAGACTCTGTGCAAATGATGATGCAAGGTTTTGATAAGGGGAAGCATAACAAGGGGAGAGCTCCAGCCTCTCCATTCCTGAGTTGTCCAGGAATCCTTTGGAACACTGTGAATTCATTGACATGTTGGTCCACACAACTTAGCACATTCTGTAATGTGGAATAAGATTACGTGTCTCTTGTTCATTCTGACAGCTTAAATAACAATCTAAGACTGCTTTCCCTCTGAAACACCATACCACCACACAGATACTATTTATTTTCAGCAAAGGGTACTCTTTATAATTGGTAGTTACTGAATCATTCATCAAATATTTATCAAGGGTTACAAAGTAGTCTGTAGAACCTTTGGATTTTTCACTGCAGTTAAATAAGTAGAGTCCCTGGAACTATATAGGTGGTTTTGTGTGACTAAACAGTCTTGGTGTCCTAGGAGATGACCCAGAGAAGCAGCGCCTGGCTTGATCAGCACACACAGCCTGAACTCAGGTGGCAATTATGCACCAGAGCTCTTTAAAGAAAACAACTTGCTTTTCATCTGTTGGCATCATGACAGGGAGAACAGAATTCAGTTGTTTACTGAACTGTTTGTTATTTTTGTTTTTTTTTGCTAACATTAGGTAAAATTTAACTTTTCTTTCCTTTGGCCTCTTCTCCCTCCAAAAATCCTAGTCATCTAAATAAACCAACTGCAATGCTAAAAACCCTGCAGCAACGAAGAGCTCATAAGCAAGAGCCTTAAGAGTCCATAGAAGACAAGGACAGGGTTGACTCATGTTCCATCTCAGCCCCACCAGATTTCAAGCATCTGTTTTATCCACTAAGTTGTCAGATATGGCTACCTTCCTTTCCTAGTTGTCAGAGACCAGCAAAGTTATTTCCAGAGCACTTTATTGTTATTCCCACTGCCATAAAATAATGAGGAAATTTCTCTTCATTTTGGAAAGATTTCCAGAGACTCTGAGATGACAGCTACTCTTGTACGTGCTTGGAAAATAGGACCCCAGAAATGCCAGAGGATCAGCCTGTACTTCAGTCTTGGAACTAAGACTTGCAATCACTTTGAGCTTTTACTTTGCATAGATTTCTTCTTTAACCATGGAAAGATGTCATGGCTCAGTGTAAGGAAGTAAGAATTATCAAATCCTATGGCATTGCATTCTGAGGAAGTTAAGTAACTTCTCATTTTTACTTTGCACAGGAATTGCCAGAACAATGGGAAACAACCAAAAAAATTGCAGCAACAGTCAGACATGAGGTTTCACCTCTCCAAAATGCAGAAGTCACTCTTCTGAGGAACAAATGTCTTTGGTTTGATGTAAGCTACGTACCAAGTTTTGGTTTGCTTGTGTTTGATTCCTCACTCATTCATTTGTTTATGTACTTATTTATTTACTTATTGAACCTAATCAGGAAAAGCAAGCAGAGTTCAGAGAGAGATTCAGAAGCTATGCTCCTCTTGATTTTAATGCGGAAAATCCATACACTTCGCTGGATAAGGTAATATTTCCACTATTTCATGTGCACAACGTTCTGTAGAACCTTTGGATTTTGCACTGCAGTTAAATAAGTAGGGTCCTTGGAACTATACAGGTGGAACACTAATCCCTACCAGGCATTCATCTCAATGCTCTAGACTTCCAACTTCCCTGTGTCCTTCCAGCTGCACAGGTTTCCATGTCTACTTCTGTTTTCTATTGCTTTCAAATACTGATAAAAAATGTTTCTTTAGAGAAAGAGCTCAGCAGCAGTACTAAAAGTGTATCATAGCTAGGCACTGGTAGATCATGCCTATAATTCTAGCTATAGGTTTCTATGTCTACTTCCGTGTCCTACTATAAAGGAACTATATAGCTACTATAGAGTAGCTACTTGGGATTCTAGATCCTGCTGTGGCTTCCCTTTAGGTCTGTATTAGTTATAGCAATTGAAGATTACATATGCAGCTTCCCCCATGTGAGTTGGGCTGAGTTTTAAGATATGTCTCCCAAACCACCTCCACTATCGTAGTCCCCATACTAGTGAAAGTAACAACTAATATTTTTGAGTACTTGCCATATTTCCATATAGTTAAATATGCATTATTTCTTTGAATTCTCATTATCCATATGATGTGGCTTCTGTTACCCTCCCTATTTCAGATAAAGAGGCAAGAGTATGTAATTAAGTAATTTGTTGGTGATAAATGTGTCATTGCCAGAACTAGTATTAAAATTCTGGCTAACTAAAACAATAACCAGAAATTCTAACCACAAATGGCTGCCTTTGTAATAATTTTGGTTGCAGCTGTTAACAGGAAATTCTGTAACTTATTATTAAACCTGGATATAAATATAATTGTATCATCTCATCCTTGCTTATATTGAACTATTTTAAGATTGGATTCAGTGATCAAATAATCATAGCCAAAGATTCATAACTATTTGAATTTAATATATCTAGGAATATATAAGCATACATATACATATGTGTGTGTGTAGTTTGTGGTTTATTTTTTTTTTCCTTCTGTTGGGCTTCATTCGGCATTCCCTTTGTGGCCTCCCTGGAGGCTATAATCAAGAAATCTAATAACAAATGCTGGAAGGGATGTGGCCAAAGGGGAATCCTACTGCATTTTTGGTGGGAATGTAAACTTGTTCAACCACTTTGAAAAGCAGTATGGAGGTTCCTCAAAAGACTCCACATAGAGCTCCCCTATGACCCAGCAATCCCACTTTTAGGCATTTACCCAAACGATCACAAACAAGACTGTACTAAAGCTACCAGCACAACTATGTTTATCACAGCATTATTCACCAAAACTAAGATATGGAACCAACCCAAATGCCCCTCAGTAGGTGAATGGATCAAAAAAATGTGGTACACACACACACACATACATACACACATACACACACACACACACATACACATACACACACACAATGGAACTCTGTGCCTCTATCAGAAAGAATGATATCACCCCATTTGTTAGGAAATTGAAAGACTTGGAAAAAATTATATTAAGTGAAGTAAGCCATACTCAAAGAAACATAGGTCCCATAGTTTCCCCTGATCTGAATAACTTGTATATGTCTAGGACAAGCAAAAGAGGTCAGAAGCTATGTACATGTGACCATATAACCTGATGCTAAGCAAAATGAACCCTAAGATAGGGACACGAGCTTTTATCTTTGTTTCTGTTCTTTTTAATGTGCTTATAATATGTGATTTTTTTTGTTTCTTGGTCTGTTCTTCCCCCATGTTACAACCCTTGTTGTCACTGTATTTGATTCTGGTGTCCTGCATCTTGTATATATATTTTTATAATTTGGGGAGGGGAGGGGAAATAACAAAATGCGGAAATAAGTATATAGGATGACCCATTGTAACAATGAGATGTACAAGACAGTATGTTGAAAATAAACTTTACAACTTTGGGGGGGGATGGTAGAGGGGCGGGGAGAGTTGGGGAAGTGGGAAGGAAATGGATGGTAGGGGAAAAATAAAGGAGGGTGTAACAATGCTCAGTAGGAAATGGACTCATTACCTTGCTCATGTAACTGTAACCCCTCTGTACAGTATCTTTACAATAAAAATATATTAAGAAAAAAAGTTAGCTTTCCAGAAAGAAATCAGCCAGCTTATACTTGATGTCAAAACCTCTTCCACATCGATGACATGGCAGATAATCCTTGACAAAGACAATCAATAGGTGAGATGTTCATACTAGGTTGTTGTATGTCAGTGAATTTACTCATGAATTCTCTTGAGTGCATTCTAGACTATAGATCATCTCTAGAGTGCTTTTAAGTGCTAGCATACTTTTATAAACTTAAGTGGTTATTTAAAAAGCAAATTTAGTTTCACCTGGAAGTTTTTAGAGCTTTACCTGTTGCTCCCAGCCAAATTCCCAGCTGTATAGTAAAAGACCAAGAGGGAAAACAGTATTGATAGAATTCTAATGCCAGAGACAGATTTGTGAAATATGTACAACAGAAGAGCATTGCTAACATGATTGCATTCCTTAATGTTTTCCTTTCTCAAATCCACAATTTACAATTGGTTATTCTACAGAGTTGTTCAAAAATGTCTTTGTAAAATCAGAGTTTGCAGTGTTGAAAGAGGGGAGCTCTCGGGACTGTATGGAAAGCCATGCAGTACCAACTGCTCTCACAGTTGGTAAGCAGGTGTGCATTTTCTCCATAGGCAAATCAGGAGCTGGAGGCATTAGAGGAAGAGATGGGTCAGATGCAGGACTCCGCTCACCTCTTCGAAGTGGCCCTTCCGGACTACAAGCAAATGAAACAGTGTCGCAGAGAAATACACTTGCTCAAGGGCCTCTGGGATGTCATTGTTTATGTTAGAGTAAGATACACTTCTGGGAAGCATAAGTTCTTTTTTTTTTTTTTTTTTTGGTTGGTCATGGTGCCTGAACTCTGGGCCTGGGGACTGTCCCTCAGCTCTTCAACTCAAGGCTAGTGCTCTATCACTTGAGCCAGAGTGCCACTTCCAGCTTTTTTTGCTTATGTGGTGCTGAAGAATCGAACACAGGGCCTCATGCATGCAAGGCAGACACTCTACCACTGAGACACTTTCCCGGCCCTTTTATTCTAAGTCATTCATTTGTAGAAATACAACTTTCAGTGTTGTGTGTATGTACATGCACAGATGCATGCCAATACGGGGCTTTATATCAGGGCATGGTCCCTATCCCTTAACTTTTTCTGGCACTCTACCACTTGAGCCACACTCCATTTCTGGCCTTTTGGTAGTTAATTGGAGGTACGTATCTCACAGACTGCCCTGCATAGGCCAGCTTTGCACCGTGATCCTCAGATCTCAGCCTTCTGAGTACCTAGGATTACAGCTGACTTTTAGTGTTTCTCTCATATTATAATACATATGCATTTAGTTTTATTGCCAAGAGGGTTCATATATCATGGCTAGTGAAATATTCTTTCCTCCATACCAGTTATTTTTGTTTCAAGTTCAGGATGGAAGTTTATATAATGAATTACCTATGTCAGACCATGTGGGAGGATTGCATAGAACATAAATAAAAATTCAGATGTGAGTACATATTAGATATGCATAGTCCCTTGTGTATATCAGCATGTTTATGCCCATACTTACATGTATGTGCATATATAAAAAAGCTAAATAGCACATTTGTATGTAGTAATTACATTAAAAACCTAACCATAAAGAGGAACCAGGTATCTTGAAAAACATATTCCACATAATGTACTTAGGTTACTTGAAAGGCATATAGAAAGTACAACAAGCTGGGAGCTAAGAGCTCATGCTTGCAATCCTAGCTACTCAGGAAGCTGAGATTTGAGGATCATGGTTCAAAGTTAGACCAGGCAGACAAATCCACAGGACTCTTATCTCTAATTAACCACCAGAAAGCCAGAAGTGAGCTGTGTCTTCAGTGGTAGAGTACTATATAAGATTATAGAAACCTGCTGGTTAATAGCATACTTATCAATTAATTCAAAGTATACAGGATTAAGTAATAATGAGGATATGGAATTTATCATTGCTACTAAATATAATGTTTTAACCTTAAGCTTGACATGTTCTGACAGTTGGGGTTTTTGTTGTTGTTGTTTTGTTGATAGGAAAGTTTTGACAAGTGCAGTTAATACTGTAAAAAATTGCCTTTCCACTGGCTGATAGCGTCACTGTGTATCATCAGTTTATATATTTTGCTGTGGAGACTTGCTTTCACCAAATGTTGTTGACACTTTTATTTGCTTGTGCGTTTTCAGAGCAGCATTGATAATTGGACTAAAACCCAGTGGAGGCAGATTAATGTGGAACAGATGGATGTAGAACTCAGAAGGTTTGCCAAGGCGAGTTCCATAACTGTCTGCTAGGACAATTTATGGTTCTCAGCACCACCTCCTTCCATCTTTCCTAACCTTGTGTCTGGTGTGTTGGGATGCATGGCCTTATTTACTTCAGAGAGAATGATACCAGATAGTACTTTTTCACTCTCAGACAGTTGCACTTCTAATCAGGCCTGCCTTCCTGTGAATGCATTGATAAAAGAATATTAGGGCTAATGAATGTATGACAGCAACTATAATCACTAGCCTCCTATGGCTGACTAGGGCGTCGGGGCTTGGGGGTGATGCTTACAATTAGCCTTTGATTTCTGTTCTTAACCTTGAACATTAAGTTTCTGAGATGGTACCTTTTAGTTCTACTACATAGGTAACTGGTAGGAGTCTGTCACTTTTACATGTATATAAAACCATATGTGGATTTTTTTTTTACTTTTTTTGTTTGTTTTTGTCATGGGACTTGAACTCTGGACCTAGGTGCTGTCCCTGAGCTCTTCAGCTCAAGGCTAGTGCTCAACCACTTTGAGCCATGGCACCACTTCCAGTTTTCTGAGTCTCATAGACTTTCTTGCCCGGGCTGGCTTTCAACTGTGATCCTCAGATCTCAGCCTCCTGAGTAGCTAGGATAATATGCATGAGCCGCCAGCACCTGACAAAAACCACATGATTTTTGTAGCTAACTAATAACTGTAGTATTCCATAAGGGCTCAGTTTATACAAAGCTTAACATGTTTAGATTTAGTACCATGGTAGCTCCCTAGCTAGGTGCTCTCTGAAGCCAAGAGAACGTCATTGGATAAGTAAAGATGCAAAAATGTTGACACGTAGACATGCATGCTGGGTATGATGGTACACACCTGTCATTCCAGTTACAACAGTGGCTGAATTGGGAGGATTCCTTAAGACCTGGTGTTTGAGACTAGCCTAGGCAATGTAGACCTTGTCTCAGAAATGGAGGAGGCAAGGGCATTTTGCTTTTTTCCCCCACCCATAATATCCCTTCACCCACCCCCTGCAGTCAGCTTCTGCCACTGCCGTGTGTTCTCCCAATTCTAAAGTGCATACCTCAAGGCTTTCTCATTCTTCTGATGCTGTGGGACCACCAGCCCTCCTTGCACTTGTCTAGTCTACCATTTACCATCTCTCTTCCCATTCTTCCCACAACCTCCACTCTCAATTACAGAACTTTGATCTCTTTATCTTTTGGGTGTATGTGTTGGTTCTGAGTCTTTAACTGTGGGCCTTGATTTCTCAATTGGCTTTCTTTTTCTACTCAAGGCTGGTGCTTTACCACTTGACTTACATCTCCACTTTCAGCTTTTTTTCTGGTTAATTGGAGATAACAGTGTCACAGAATTTTCTGCCCAGGGTAGCTTTGAACTGGGATTCTCAGATCTCAGCTTCCTGAATAGTTAGATAAGCATGAACCTCCAGAGCCAGGCTTATCTCTTTACTTTCAAAACAATTGGCACTGTTCTTTCCTTGTTGCTAAAATCTTGTTTTCTGGGCCAAAGGACTTTATTTGAAACATCTTAAAGTACTTATTTGCTAATGGGAGAAGAACCAGTATTTTAAGGCTGCTATTTAAGTGAGCCAGAATAACCTGGATTCCTATTTCACTTTTCACTTATTTCTCAAGGAGATCCCAACCATGGCAGGTGTCTCTTAACTGTCATTTCCTGCATCCATGTTCTAGTTAGCATCCATTGCTGAGAACCTGGGCTACCTAGATGGCTCAGCAGATGAGCCTGTGGATTCCCTTCCCTTTCTCTGCATTTAGTCCTTAGCCCAGGGCCTTTAGCACTTTCCCCTCTTTCTTCTTCCAGAGGTGGAAACATGTCTATTTAGCCATCCAAAGGAGGTAAATTATGGAGTATGTTATTAGTATACCTATGAAGCTGCTTTTTCCCTCCATTTCTTCAGGACATGTGGTCACTAGACAAGGCAGTCCGTGCCTGGGATGCTTATGCAGGCCTGGAAGCCACTGTGAAGGATATGATGACCTCCCTGAGAGCAGTCACAGAGCTGCAGAGCCCCGCCCTCAGGGACAGGCATTGGCAGCAGCTGATGAAAGCCATCGGGGTGAGTGTCTGGTTCTCAGTAGCTGAGTGTTGTCCTGACTGTGAGGTGTTACCCCTAAGTCTGCATCATCATGGCGCACATGGCAATGTCACCAGTCCTGTGCAAGAGGTCACTTCCTTCAGAGAGAACCAGTGAGACAAAGTGCAGTTCTTAGCCCCTTTTATCGCTTGCTGGCTATGTGCCCTCCTAGCAAGTCACTCTTTTGGTTTGAGTTTTGTTTTTTATTAATGTGAGAAAGAGGCTATCTGATCTTATGCACTAGAGTCATCTTGGGGTAAATGATATCATATGAAGACATTGTACAGAACACCAAATGATGAAATGATGGCCGTGAACTTTACAGACTATGGAGTGGACCTGAATGTTTAGAACTGGATTTGGAGAGAGAGGAAATTCTGATATTATAAATTGTTTTTTGGGTTTTTTGGGGGGGCACTCTAGAGTCCATTTCATGTGATGTCTTTTCTGATAGTCTTTTGATGCTTTTAATTTTATTACAAGATGTAAAGTGGATTTTTATGTGCTCATGCCTAAACATGTACTCAGACATGTTTTTGCCTTTTTTTTTTTGTCTTTTTGGTGCCAGAACTGGGGCTTGCAATCAGAGTCTGTGTGCTGTCCTTAAACTTTTTCACTCAAGGCTAGAGCTCTACCACTTGAGCCACAGCTCCATTTTCAGTTTTCTGTAGTTAATTGGAGTTACCAGTCTCCTGAGTTTTCCTGTCTGGGCTGGCTTTGAATCTCACATCTCAGCCTCCTGAGTAGCTAGGATTACAGGTGTGCACTATTGGCTCCCAGCTATTTTCTTGCCTTTCTGTTTCTATTGAAAAGCAAATATGTCACCGTTAAACTGGATTTTTCAGGGAAAGTGACTTTTATGAATTTAAAATATATACAAGGAAGCCAAACAGCTATGCATATTTTCTCTTTGCTAAGCCAAGAGCTGGGGGACACAGTGAAGAAAAGCTATCATGATGCAGTGAATGTTTATAGCGTAGGGAAATGGGGCATAACCACGGTGTGGTTCCAGTCCTAACGCAGGAATTCTAGGGTCAGGGACAAGTTACTGCCTCTATACCTTGATTGACTCTTCTGTGTGATGAACGTAGCATTTCCCCTGAAGTCTTGATGAGCAAATTGGGTAATGTGTATGTGTGTGTGTTTAGACCTATACATACATGTATTGTACTTTATTCTCAATTAATAGTCCCTAAAGCTACTTCTTTTATAAGATTTTCCATAAGGTATTTTAGATGTTGGACATTTAGATTTCATGCTTGATAGATTCAGAAAAAAATCTCTATTTTCTTAAAATGCAATTGACTATGCTTCTAGCTCCTCACTCCCTTATCACAGTCTCCGCTTACCTATATCCCATCTTTCTGAAATCTGTGAAAAGAAAACTTTACAGGCAGATGATATAGCAAAAAGCACTTTCTTCTAGGCTCTCTCTAGGACAGAAGAGGAGACTGGATTCAGTCCCTGTTTGCCAGCTGGGTAGGTTTCTGAGGTCATTGCACAGATTGCCTGGTTACATATCCCTGCTCCTTTTCTCTTTCCAGTAGACCCGGCTCCCATTGCAAGTGAGGTCAGAGTAATGTAGAGGCAGGGTGACTAGCTCTGGCTTTCCGAGGACCTTCCAGGTTCAGTTTTAGCACTGAAAGTCCCATATTCTATGAAATGCCATAGTTCTGGGCAATCTGGATTACTGGTCATCCGATGTGGAGGGAAGGATAGTGCTAGTGCTATAGTAGTGGACAAGGAAGAAAGAGCTAGACTTGGCAGTTTTCAAGAAGCAGAGACTGGATTTTTTTAAATGTGAATAAGAAAGGAAGTGGCTTTCCTACAACCCCATGTGTCTGTGTCAGCTCTCATCTGCCAGGGATGTGGCTAAGTTTGGAATGTGCAAGAGTGGTTTATTAGTATTAGACTGAGTTGTAGTGGCTCATGCCTATAGTCCCAACTATTTGTGAGGCAGAGATCAGGAGGATCATGGTTCAAAGCCAGCCCACACAAGAAGGTAATGAGGTCTCAAACAAGCCAGGTGTGATAGGGGCACGTTTGTTATTCAGGGCCAGTATGGGCACAGAGTTTCTCAACCAATAAAAAGCTGAATGCAAGCCAGGCGTTAGTGGCTCATGTCTGAAATCCTGGCTACTCAGGAGACTAAGATCTGAGGATCACAGTTCGAAGCCAGCCTGGGCAGGAAAGTCTGTGAGCCTTATCTCCAATAAACCGCTCAGGAAAAGCCAGAAGTGGTGCTGTGGCTCAAGTGGTAGAGCACTAACCTTGAGCAAAAGAAGCTCTGGGATAGCACCCAAGTCCTGAGTTCAAGCCCCACAACTGGCACATACACCAAAAAAAAAAAAAAGATAAGAAAAGCTGAATGCAGTGGTATATGTCTGTCATCCCAGCTATGTGAGACACATAGAAATGCATAAATGGGAAGATTTCTGTCCATGTCAGATCAGGCAAAAAGCAAAATTGTATTAAAAAAACAATGAAAACAAAAAGGGGCTGGTAGAACATCTGCCCAGCTAGTACAAGGCCCAAGTTCAAATTCCAGTGTTGACCAAAAAACAAACAAGAAAACCAACACAACAACAAAACTGGGATCAGAGGAAGGAGGGAAGCCAGCAAGATAATAGAGAAATAAAGGTGAGATATTTTTACATGATAAATATGAATGATAGCACTATGCAAAAGAATATTTTGCCAAGGAGCCTAGATTAAATTAGTGGTAAAACAAGGTCAAATCTGGATGCAGCCGGGAATTATGTTCCGTGAACAGGCTACTTCAGGAAGAAAACAAAGGAGCGACTATCTGATTATGTGATTCTGGTGATTTCAACAAAATTCTAATAAATGAGCAATGAGATTGTTTTTAAAAGTGAGTTACATGGGTGAAAGAGGTAAGAAAGATGTTGATGGACAAGCCACGTTTGATGCCGTTGGTTCTGGGAACCATTAACATACACATTGTATAAGCTCTCTCTTCCTTTGCTTCCTTCCATCCTGCTCAGGTCACGGTTTCAATCAGTGAAGCCACAACCTTGGCAGATCTGCTGGCATTGCAGTTACACCGCGTGGAAGATGATGTTCGCAATATGGTGGACAAAGCGGTGAAGGAGCTTGGGACTGAGAAGGTAGTGTCCACAGGTGTGGCCTTCTCTAGCGTGCCTAGTGACACAGAAACCATGAAGAGAGATGGTTTTGGTGCCCTTGAGTGAAGAGACACCTTCTAGTTTCTTCTCTGCTGCGATAGTGTCTTGGGGTGGGAGGGAATAAAATCATTCCATGGTAAGTGCTTCAGACAGGAGAGTTGGCCCGCTGATGAGAGCAGAAAACTCTTCTTTAGAGGGTGGCAAGAACACTCTGAGGGATTTAGTCCTGGTGCCTCATTTAGGCCTTCAGGGCAGGTGATATCCTATTTTACAAATGAGAAAACTATGGTATAGAGACATAATGAAGTTATCCAGGTTCACCTAAGGGCCTGAGACCCACATTCACACATCAGGGTATCTTACTGCCTGTGACCTGTTTCACCCTGGTTAATTGTTAAATATAACATCATTTTTTGAGTCATACCCACTCTTACAGTCTGCTTGGGGCAAGGATATAAAACTCACAACAAAAGTTTGTGTCAATCTGATGCTTGTCCGCTCGATGGAATTCATTCTTCCAACCTTATCAGCATGAATATTGGGAAGAAAACTATGAGGCTGGTAATATTTAATGTTACTATGTGTTTTTTGATGTTCTTTGAAAATGTTTCTCCTCATTATCATGCCCAAATTAAACTTTGGTGCACATAAAGTAACCAATACTTTTGATCACTAGGTTATTACTGAAGTCAGCCAGACCTGGGCGACCATGGAGTTTTCTTACGAAGTTCACTATCGAACAGGCATTCCACTACTGAAGTTCAATGAACAACTTTTTGAAATTCTAGAGCATAACCAAGTAAGATGGATGGCTTTATTACTGATTTTTAATTTAAATGTATGACATCCATTATTTCCAAGTTCCGATATTCAATATCCACCCATTCACAAATACATGCATACATACATTCATTAGCATCTACTTTATGGCAGGCTCCAAATATAGGACTGCTTGGGCTCCAAAGGTCTGAGGCCTTGTTCTAAAGGAACTTGTACCCAAGAAAGGAGACAAAGAGTTCAGGCATTTCAGAAGAACCAGAAGCTTTCTGACTGGGTGGAGAATGAAAAATCAGGGAGGTCCTTGCCAAGATGGTGATGCTCATACTGAGCCTGGTAGATGCGTGCTCATGCTGGTCTTCAGCAGCAGCAACAACACAAGGCAGTGAGGAAACGAGGTTTAGACAATGGGACAGAATCAGCAGTTCTTGGAATGCCAGTTAGTATCCTCCATTCAAAGGTAATTTTAAGAGTTCAGATCCCTTACAATATAGATTTTTTTAATTTTTTTATTGTAAAGATACTATACAGAGGGTTACAGTTACATGAGTAAGGTAATGAGTACAATTCCTATTGAGCATTGTTACCCCCTCCATTGTTTCCCCCCTACCATCCTTTCCCTCCCTACCTTCCCCGAGGTTCTTTTTTTTTTTAATTGTGATTAAGTGATTACATAATTTCCCAAATTTCACAGTATTGTGGAATAATGATGCTCAATTAAAGTCACAAGTTCATTTTAACTTTCCTGGAGCAAATTGTCTACCACAGTCTATAACATATACATGTGATCAGCAGCATGGGGATATTTAGTAGTGGTTCGACCAGATGAGTGGGAGTTCTTTGTTTCTTAAGTCCTGTTAATTTTGTTGTATCACCTAACATTTTGGATTTAGCATCCACTTATCAGGGAGACCATGTACCGTTTGTCTCTTTGCTCTTGGCTTACCTCGCTCAACATGATTCCTTCTAGCTCCATCCATTCCCCTGCAAATGCCATTATTTTGTCATTTCTAAAGGCTGCATAACAATATAGATTTTTTTAAAAACTGGAATAATGGAAAATAAGACTGGAGAGCACAATCTGAATACAATGGAGTCTTGGATTCCAAGATTGTAAAGTTGGTGTCTTAGATATGAGACCTAAGAAAGGTAGAAGAGGCTGTTTGGAGAACTATAGTTATGATTAGATACAAAGAACTTAGGAAGAGAATCTGGAAGAGAGAGGATGTTATAGTATTGGGTGTATTTAGCTTGAGGGATATTTATATAAAGTTGGAAAATTAGCCCAGAGCCCAGCTCTGTAGCTGAAAAGGTCACTGTTAGTGTCTAGAGAACCAATGAGCTAGTTACAGATAAATAAACCAGCTAAGCACAGAGCTTGGAAACATTTCAAAAAAGAGAAGTCAGAAAAAGGCAAAGAGAGAGAAGTAGAGAGAAGTAAAAAGAGTGAGGGGGAAAGAAGCAAGAAGGGAGAAAAGGTAGAGAAGAGATCAGAGATTAATAGAAACAGGACATTGTAATATCCCATTAGGGGTAGGGTTTTTTCCCCCAAAGAAGAGTCACATATGTTAAATCCACAGAGTGTAGAGGAATGAAGAGAGGCCAGTGACTCAGAAATTTCAATGTCAGGTTGATGAGAATTGCTAAGAGTCAGAGGGTGTGGATGTAAGCCTTGGGTAAAGAGAGTTGCACAGCTTAGGAAGTAGTCAACCAAAAAAAAAGGGAAGCATAATTTTGAGGGCCTAACACTGGAGAAAAATTTGTCTTTGGAAATTAACACACACACACACAGCCACATGCATACTCATACAAACCCCTTGTGATAATGAACAGCCAGGGACCAAGGGAAGAATGATAGAAGAAAGAGCCAGTTGGTGTTCCTAAAGCTGCACCTCACCCACAATAGCTCTTGTCTGCAAGGAGAAGATAGCTCTTGCCCACTAGAAGGCGAGTCTAGCAGAAGACCCAGGAAACCCAGCTGCTTGTATTTGTCTTGTTTCCAATGGGAGAAATGTTCATATGAGTATTTATTACTATGGATTTACTCATTCAATCACTCAGCAGGAACTTATGGAGAACCTGATCTGGCTATCCAAGAATTGAGAAATAATCAGGCTAATTGTGAGACCTCCCTCATGGTGCTGGCAGGCTATCAGTCTGCCAGCTAAAGATTTTGGCCTTTGGCCTTTCCTTTAGGTTCAGCTGCAGACTCTTCTTCAAAGCAAGTATGTTGAATATTTCATCGAGCAAGTCTTAAACTGGCAAAATAAGTTAAACATAGCCGACTCAGTTATCTTTACTTGGATGGAAGTCCAGCGAACTTGGTCCCACCTGGAAAGCATTTTTTTTTGTTCAGAAGATATTCGAATCCAGCTTGTAGAAGATGCCAGAAGATTCGATGGAGTAGATGCTGAATTTAAGGTTGGTTAGAGTCAGACTGTATTGTATTTCAGAAAATTTTTCAGAATGTGAATTATTGCTTCAGTGTATTGTATTTGTAAAGAAAGGACATAATTCTTGCATTTCAGTATGCAGAGGGTCAGGAAAAGTGTGGGGTTTTTGTTCCTATAAATGGCCTGGTATCAGTATTTAAGGCATTTCAGGTCATGCTGCTTCTGTAACAACCATCCAATGACATGTAAAGAGACGCAGAGACCACATAAACGTATCAGTATAATTGTGTACCAACAAAACTTTCTACATACTGAACTTGAATTTCACACACTTTTCATTTGTCCCAAAATGTGTGCTACTTTTGATAACTTTAAACCATTTTAAAATTTGCAAAAACATACAACAGTAGGCCATATATGTCACACAGCTATCACTTTCTGACTCCTGCAGTAAGGAGGGTCAATAGATTCTTCTTTATAAGTAACAGACAGAAATAGGTAGCAAATAGTACTATTAGTCTTGTTTTTTCTTTTCCATGAAACATACAAAGAATGTATGGAGATTGTGTATGTATGTAATTGTAATAAATGATTTGAAAAACATCTAGCAAAGAATATTAGCTATAACTTTCACAGAATAGAAATTAGATTTTTTTCTACCTAAAGTAGGATTCTTTTTGACAAGGAAAGGCAATCACTTAAAACACTGATATGGTCTCTCAAACTCTGGACTTCCACTTCGTATTTCCCTCACTTCCTCTAACTTTCCTCCTTCCTTTTCCTTTCCTTATTAATATATTTTTTATTTAGTTTAGAAGAGAAAATTATGTGACCCAGAATGGTGGCAATGCCTGTAACATTTTTATAAAATGGCATGATTATTTAATTTATTTTTAATCTTCATCTAAAAATATAAAGGCAAAACAAAATTATGTTTACCTAAAAGTATAAAAAGGCATGTCTAGAGTCTTCTTAACCTTGTCCAATAGAACATAATCTTAAATAGAAGAAATATCTAGAGAACCTTTTATACTTTTATAAAAGAAATCTCTAAGGTTCATGTTAATACTTTTACACAGGAGTTAATGTTCAAGACAGCCAAAAGAAAAAATGTTTTAGAAGCAACATGCAGACCTCATCTTTATGAGAAACTTAAAGATTTATTGTACAGGTAAGAACAAGTCTATATAAAGTGATCAATTTTTGATAATTTTGTAAAATTATGCATACCAAATACATAATGATATTATAGGTTCAATGTTTACTAAATTGTTTCATAAATTTGCTTATAGTTGTCTAGTTGTCTTATGCATATTGATGTATATAAATAATTTAGATTCAAACATATTTCTGTTTCCTGAAAGACTGTTATAATTATGAAAATATAGCATTCTTGTTATATTAAGAGAATTAATGAAAAAAATTAATGCAACTGATCAATTTTTTCATTGCACAATTCTGCAACTATTGATTGAGCACCTACTTTATGTCAGAAAATGTGATTATCCTCATTTGCTTACAGCTCTTCAGTTTATATATATTTTCCTTTTATTAGAAACTACCCTTAGAGAACATATTTTCACTTTTGAAATCTTTGTCCTAAGTAAGCACTATTTGTAAAGTAATTTTCACATACAATTCGACCACATTGGTCACAAAATGGGCAGTTTAGGATGGGTGTGGGGATACTTGCCTATAATCCCAGCTACTTAACATGTAGAAACAGGGGAATCACGGTTTCAGGACTGTTCTGTCAAAGTTTGTAGGACATCCTCTTTGTAGAACACCCTATTTGAAAAACAAAAGCAAAAGAACTGGGTGAGTGGCTCAAGTGGTAGAATACTTACTTAGCATGTGGCAGGCCTAGAGTTTAATCACACATTCCCCTCTCCCCCCAAAATAATAGTTACAAAAATAAAATGGATAGACATGCTACTAAAATGAGAGGTTTGTCTACAAAATTTAACGATTCGTGTTTAGATAATTTTGGTATTTCTACAGCTCTGAGTTGTTTTTGTTTGACTAAGAATAATAAATCAGAAGTGCTCGGGAGCTGGGCACTGGTGGCTCACTCCTCTACTCAGGAGACTGAGATCTGAGGATTGCAGTTCAAAGCCAGCCCAGGTAGGAAAGTCCATTAGACTCCTATGTCTGATTAGCCACCAGAAAGCCAGCAGTGGTGCTATAGCTCAAAGTGATAGAGTGGTAGCCTTGAGTAAAAAGAACCTAGAGATAGTGCCTAGGCCTTGAGTTCAGGCCCCATGACAGACCCTCCCCCCCAAAAAAAAAATAGTTCTGAGCTTAATGGGATCTCTGAATTCCTGAGAGGATGAAATTCACTTGTGTTTCCTAGATACTCACTGAAGAGGTGGATCCTCAGCTACTTACATTTTGTGCTTGGGTTAAGCAATACCATACTTTATATTCATTTAAAAAAAAGCAGCAGTAGGTGACATATTAACCCAGGTGTGTGTGTGTGTGTGTGTGTGTGTGTGTGTGTGCGCGCGCACGTGCACATGTGTATATGTGTGTATACGTATACATACACATATGTGTACACATGTGTCTCTCTGTACTTAGCCTGACTCTGAAATTAGGACGATGATGTTAGAAAAGAGAGAGGGAGACTCCTGTCTAGGGCTGAGCTCATGGTAATGAATGGACACAGATTGGGAGCGGGACTTGTTCCTTGTGTCCATGACTGAATGGCCGAGATTTGCTTACAGAGCTTTCTGTCCACCTAGGCTTTCGCTTTGTGAAAAGGCTCTCACAGAATACCTGGAGACCAAGCGTGTAGCTTTCCCTCGCTTCTACTTTATCTCCTCCATGGACTTACTTGACATTCTCTCCAAGGGAGCTCAGCCTAAGCAGGTAATGTTTTCTGGAGGTCTTGTCTGTGTTAGCTAAGGAACGTCCCAGTTTCTCTGTCATTATCAGATGCCATCTGTCAGGTCACATGTGCCAAGAACTAGAAAATCTGCATTCAAGATTCTTAATTCTGCCACCTAGGGCCCAGCTAAAGGGAGGAGGAGGAAGAGGAGAAAGAGCAGCCTCCAGCTCAGTGGAGGGGTGGGCTAGAAAAGAAGTCAATAAGAACATACACTGCCTGCAAACTCCCCAGTATTTGTGGACAGGCCTGGGGCATCCATCCTTAGCTGGCTGGCTGGCTGGCAGGCAGCCTTCCCAGGGGAAAGTGGGTCACGACTAGTACATTCTTATTATCTCTCAGCCCAGGGAAACCTTCAGAATGATTGTTGGCCTGGTCCTCAGTACTGTCAGAGTTGGGCCTGTATGATTTCAGACTCATCTTCCAACTTTCTAGTTCCCCTCATTTGTACAAAAATAAGGCACTGTCTACTTCCTGGTTCCCATAACAATATTTAAAGCAAGGAAAAGAAGATACCTTTTGTAATCAGACAGCTCATATCAGGGACTTGAGCCAGGCCTCCCATCTGGCATTTTGATGATTAATTGAAGACAGAATCTCCTGGGCTTTTCTGCCCAGGTTGGTTTCAAATAGCCATCCTCTAATCTCAGCCTCCTCAGTAGCTAAGATCGCAATATGAGCTGCCAAACCCAGGCTTTCTAGTAGTTTTTATTCATTTTTTTAAATAATCTGTTTCTCATCACACTATAGCTTCTTGCATTGTGCTTTTCTTTGGACATATGCTTATCCTGATTTTTTCTGGTTTACTTTTTAACTTTTAGTCTGAATTCTGTTGTATAGCCATTCTTGTTGCTTATGAAATCTTGCAGTTAGTAAATAAGTATTGATCAGGTTTGGCCACTTGTGCTGGGTTTCCAGAAAGGTGCTGATTTACACATTCATGTTCATCCCTGGATCACCTTGCAAATAAAATCCCTCTGTTCCCTCTGTTCAGATAGAGAAGGAGCTGCCATATCCATCCCCCACATACTTATGGAAAACATAATTAGGTGCATAAAAATAGTCACACAGGACAGTCATAACACATCCTCTCCCTACCCCCACCCCAGACACTTTCAGTTCAAGAGGATAAGCAGATAAACATGAGTAGGATGTTCAGCTGTGTCACCAAACCCTGGAGGGAGCAAGCTGCCCTAACCATGTCATGATGCCACGTGGTACATTCATGATGTCACATTTCCTTATGTCTTTTTGTTCTTCAAGTCCTCGGGTGATGCCAGTAAAACATCACTTGATGTTGTTATTGCCAGCTGTCTTCACCTTCCTTTCCAACGAGGAGACGATGCTTCATGCATGGTTCAGTCAGACATGTTGGCTCCAATGTGTGCCTCTTCGCTGCAGACTGTTGTTTTCAGACTCTGATTATCTAACTTTGATCCCTTTTATTCTTTTTGTTTTCACCTCACAACTTCCATGTTTCCCTGAACAAGTGTTGTTTCTGCTGTTATCCCTGTGACTTATTGCAGTAGTCCCCCACCTGTGTCATTCATAGCCCTGTTGTCCTCCTTTAAATCCCTGAATTCCAGATGTGTTCCTCAGTGCCAGAACTAGGATCCCTCCTCAGGGAATGAGACTGTTTTAAGTCATTGTGGAACTAAACTGTAAATCACAGCATGGTGATCTCCAGCATTACTTGGAGTGGCGCTGGTAAATGCCAGCAGCAGGCTGTCTATAACATACAGACAAAAGGAGGAGATGTCTGCTCACCAGCTAATGGGGTCAGGACACTTGGCTTTAGGGTAGATGTAGTTTATAAGTCTCCTGATCCACCAGGTCAGATTAGATTTCTGATAAAAGTTCGAAGTTCTGAGAAGATTCGTATTACTTCGAATTGTACTTCAGATGTGAGTCCATTAAGAGATTTTTGATATGCTACTTAAACTGTGAATAGTTCAAATTCACATAAGGTGCATTCATCGTACAGTTATTGGTGTGTTATCATTTAAATGACTTAACAGGCTGTGTGATGTAAACAGCCATCGAAGAGTGATTTGAAGCAGGGATGAAGAAGGCCATAAAGACAATTTGTGGCACCTCCATGGTCAGCTTTGTCCCTGCTGATGAATCTGCAGAGACCCTGTGCACTGGAAATTCTGGGACTGTGGCTTGGTTAATGTGTTTTGCAGCACTGTAGGAAAGCCTGGCCCTGCTGTCATCCCTCACTCACTGTGCAATTTCAGAATCAATTTCAGACCACCAGACCAAGCCCCTTCCATCCATGCCCTGTGTGCTGACATTCTTGAATGTGTTCTGCGCAATGTGGCTTCTGGAATAACCATACAGTTTCCCCAAAAAAGGCAACCTCCCTTTGTGGGTAGATAACTCATCTTGACATCCTGAATAACCCTCAGTTCCTCATCCCTCCACCCCACCTTCTCCTTACCCACACTCCATTTAACAATGATGCTTCAAGAAAGAGTTTCTGCAGTTAATTGTGGAATTTGATCAGCCTGAACCTATCAGCCAGGGAGGTCTGATTGCATTGTGACCTCTATTTTGGGAGGACCAAGTTCCCAGCTTAAGATTCTGGCTTAGAGTGTCACATGATGCAGTTCAGAGAGTCTGAAGGACTTTTTGTGATTATTAGCTGCCACCAAGCTGGGACAGAGTTAAGTTTTTTCATCATGCTTTTATATCTAGTCTGACTTCTTAAGGACTTGGATTTATCTGAAGGATGGTGGGTTTAACTTCAGTGGTAAAACTTTCTGGTAGTTGCTGTGAGAATAAAACCTAAGATGTACTAGCAGAATCCACAGATTTGAAGGTCATAGTTGTGTGCAACTACCATAGGTTATTTTTAAATTTTTAATTTTTTTTTATTAAGGTGATGTACAGAGGGGTTACAGTTACGTAAGTAAAGTAGTGATTTTTTGTGTGTAACTTGTTACCTCTTCCTTCATTTTTCTCCCTCTTTCCCTCCTCCTCCTCCCAAATCCCCACCAAATTGTACAGATTCTTTCCAACATATTGTGAGTATCCCTGTCACATTGGTCCCCCTTTGTCCTTTGTCTCACCATTTTGTTGTTCACCTTCCCTTTCCTAGTTCAGATAAATGTATATACAATACCCAGGGTACCAAATTGAACATAGTGACAATGGGAGATATACCAGAGGGAGGGGGAGACACACAAAAGAAAAAAGAAATCGTATAGTACATTGAGAACAACAACAACAAAGAAAAGCATCTTGTGCCCATGTTTTGGAGTTCATTTTACTTAGTACCATCTTATATGATAATATGTACATAGCTGTTGAGCTGTTCTGCTCATCTGCTAAGATTTTTCTAGATGTATACTCATTATTATAAATAAGGGAGATCATGGGACCTGTTTCTTTGGGTCTGGCTTACTTAATACGATTTTTTCCAAGTCCTTCCATTCCTTACAAATAGGATGGTATCATTCTTTCTGATAGAAGCAGGTGCTTGCCTTAAACTAGTGTTCTAACATAGGGTCTTACATGGTTCAGTATTAATAATGTTTGATTTTCTCCCCTGTTAAAAAATACCTATTCAATGGGCTGGGAAGGTGGCTCAGTGTAGAATGCTTGCCTTGCAAATGCATGAGGCCCTGGGTTCGATTCCTCAGCACCACATAAGCAGAAAAAGCCAGAAATGGCACTGTGGCTCAAGTGGTAGAGCGCTAGCCTTGAGAAGAAGAGCTGAGGGACAGTGCTCAGGCCCAGAGTTCAAGCCCCACAACTGACAAAAAAAAAACAAAAAAACCTATTCATCCTCATAGTCACACAGGATACTATTTCCTTCCTTTGTAAATAGTGAATGATGCTTTACTGGGTGTAGATATTACATAGACTAAATTTTGCTTATGCATAAATACACAAACCTATTATTAGCTGGGTGCCTGTGGTTTGTGCCTGTAATCCTAGTTATTCAGGGGGCTGAGACTTGAGGGATTGTAATTGGAAGCCAGCCAGGGCAGTCTGAATCTGCATCTCCAGTTAACCAGCAAAATCCCTGGCTAGAGTCATGGATCAAGTGGTAGAATGCCAGCCATGAGCAAAATGCTGAGAATATGAGAACCTGAATTGAAGTCCCAGCATCAATGTGAGTACATGTGCACATATACACACACATGTGATATCTACTGTGTTTTTTTTAACTAGTATAGTGGTTCAAGTAAGATGGAGTGCCCTTGTGTGCTCTTTCATGTTATCATGCATTATCTTAACACAGCTAAGAGCTTTGGGTAGTCAAGATACTTTTAGCTACCAAGACCTGATGAAACAGTCCTAATGTGAAAAATCTTTCTGTCCTATGTCCTAAAAGAGTTTGGCGATTTTCTCTCACACGATGAGATGCTTAGCTTCTCCATCATGGGGCCATGCTAGAGAAGGAGAGCCTTCCATTGCTTCCACATGATCTGCTGAATTTGTGCTTTCTTGGGGAATAGCCGTGGACACACATGTTCAGTGAACACTTAAAGTGTAGCCACTGGCAACAGGCATTCCAATAGTTTTTTGTTGTTGGATTGTTTTGGGGTTTTTTTTGATGCTTGTGCCAAACTCATAGCCTTGTGCTCTTATTTGTTTTTTTTGCCCAAGGCTGCTACTCTGTCACTTGAATTGCAGGTCACTTCTGGATTTTTGATGGTTCATTAAGATTGTAGCCAACACAGTGGCTCAAGCATGTAACCCTTGCCACTTGAAAGATGGCAATTGGAAGATTGTAGTTTGAGACCATCCTGGGCATAAAAGTTTGGAAGATTCCATCTCAAACAGCTGGGCATGGTAGCATATGCTTGTCATTCCCTGTGACACAGGGAAACAGAAGTAGGTGGATTACAGCTAAGGCCAGCTTGAGCTATAATAAAGCAAGACCATTCATTGAAAAGAAATAAGGCACTGGGTACTGGTGGCTCACACCTATCATCATGGCAACTGAGAAGACTGAGATTTGAGGGTTGAA